TTGCAACTTGATAAATCAAGTTAATTTTATAAAAAAATAATAAAAAATTAATAAAATTTTTTTAATAAAAGAATTGCATTTTTAAAGAATAATAGATTAAAAATTTTTGAATTTTACGTATTAAAATGTATTATTTTTCATTTGAAAAAATAAAATAAAAAATGAGATTTGCAAAGTAATATTCTAACAGTTACGGATTATTTTTGCTATTTTTAATGTTAATATCAATAATATTTTCTAACATTTTTTAAAAATGTTAAATGTGAAAGTTTATTACAAAAATTTCTTAAATTGTAAGAACTTTTATATCATCTTATATTTTTTGTTATTTAAAGTTGTATGCCTAATATTTAAAAAGTAGGCTCTACTTGAAAAATAAAATTAATTTTATATAAAATTATCATTAAAAAATGTTAAAAAAATAACATTTAAAATTTTTATATATTTAAACTATTTTTTTTTAATTCAATAGAATAAACTGATTTTTAAAGCTTCTATTTAGGAAAAAATGTTGATTTTTCTATTGGAAATCATCGATATTTAATATATTTTTTAAACATTTTTAGATTTATATAAGCTTAAATATTCGGTTTATATATATATATACATATTTGAATTGAATAAATAAACTCGAAAGAGAAAGCCGAAGATAAAGTATATTAAAGTTTATACAGTACTTGGCTTCGTAAAATGTATTATGATAAATTATTTATTTATTTAAGAATAAAAATAAATTCAATTTTCAATTTTAAAATTAGAAAATAGAAAAAAAGAAAGAAAATCATGTTAAAAGTACGGAGAAATCAATAAAATTAACATTAAATTTACCTTCTGTAAATATAAAATGTATTAGTTGTGAATATTAAGTTTTACGTGAAGGATGGGAATAAGTGTATAACTTGTGTTTTAAAGGATTTTTAAAATTTAAATGTAAGTTAAAAAGATCAATTATATGCTTAATTTAATATTTTTAGGCCTTTAAAGAGTGTGATTATGTAAATAAAATGTGTAACGTAACGTGTGCCTGATGAAATTAGTGGATACGTAGCCCTATGTCGTATGTAATGACAAGGATGATGAGCCTCTAAATCAGTCAAATTTATATTTTATATAAGAAAAGCAATCGTCGAGAGTTTAGTTACAATATCTTATTTATTGAATTGATTATTCGGATTCAATTATATGGATTTAGAATGCCCACTAGTAGGCGAGTGGATGAAACCACTAAACTTGGTCGCGGGTTCGTGCCTCAACAACGGCTGGCCACGCGCAGTTTTTCGGGTTTTCTTCACGTATCTAACACCTAAATCCTACAATAGAATATTTTCGATAATTGAGCTGCATTTTGAAAAAAATTGTAGACCTATAAATTACCTCTGTCGTCTGTCTCTGCCTGTCTGTGTGTCTGTCCTTTCTTAATCTCGAGAACAGTATTAGATAGATGAAAGTGGAAACAGGATATAGAAAGCTTAGGGCACGAGGTCCCGATATTTACTAATTACATACAAACTTCCGTCTATATCAGAAGTCACGTAATTTCAATTCAAAAATTTTTCCCAGAACGGAGTTATATAAACGACCGGCATAAATGTTGTTATCAAGAAAAGTGTGATGTAGTACAGGGGTAAGACGCTACTAATTTCAGATCAAGAACATATTTTTTGAATTAAAAAATCAAGAATATAATTAAAAATTACTGGTCGGCATTGTGACGATGTCGCAATAATCTTTGCTCGTTATTATTACAGTTTTCTTAAAATTATTTATTGTAAATCGAAATTATTAAATTACAAAATGCTAATAAAATGGCAAGGCATGAATTTTTTTTATCCCCAGGAGAACGAAAAAACCACAGAATCACATACAAAAATTAATATCTAAGTAGGAAAATAATTGTTGGATGTATATTGGATCCGAACCCATCTTTCGTAATCTGATATGTACTACAATCAACTAAGCTAGCTAAAGAGAACACGCAATCTTCTAATTGTCGCTTTGCTGAAGAAACACGTAACTAAATCTCGTTATATGTTGTTTATTATATAAATTTTGGGTCATACTTAAAAATTACGGTAAATTTTGTTGTGTAAATGATAAATCTCCTAAAAAAATTGGAGATACACGAAAACCGATCGCACCTGAAACAAGCGGAGAGAAAGTTCGTATCATGTAACGGTGGGTTATTAAGATTTTATTTTCTTATTTTATTTCACAAAGATAAAATATCTTCATTTTAGCTGACTAAAATACTTGAAAACTAATTTCTTGATGCAACCACCTCAGATAGTAAACATCATTAAAAGATATTTTATGATTCTGCATATTTATAATGAAGTCGCGTGAAGTTGGAAGCGTGGGTTAAAGGTGTTGGTTCAGTTCTTACACGTATCGAGTGTGCAAGTTTATATTTCGTAAAGGTGAACAAAGTTATATTAAAGTTTAAAATAAGATTATTAGAAGGATAACTAAGCAATTTGCTCAATTTCGTGATTATGAAAGCTGGCAGAGGCTCTTGCTCGATTTTCTCAGCACTCGAACAGCAAGTTAAAGAGACCGTTAGGAAGTCCGATAATTTTCAATTGTACTACGATATAAAATTTAAATAATAGCAAAAGCTTAAAAGAAATAATTTTGTTGAATTGTGAGAAATATCTTTATTTAAAAAAGTATTTATGTTTAAGACACAAATAGAAGTTAAAATTGTGTGCCGCTCCATGCTATGAGATTTATTTAAAAATAACTTTTATATTATTAATTATTATAAAACGGCAGAATGCTTAATTTGAGGGAAGAGATGAATTTTTAGAAATAGAAAATTTTACTCATTGTTAACGTTTACAGTAAGTCCATCCTCCCTCGAGATATAGCACGTGACCCCTCTATGTCCTCATTTTCGTAACCTTTAACCACCAAAATTTAATAGCATTAATGCCTCTTATATACACGTTACCATGCCATATTTCGTTTCTTAATCTTTACTCCATTATTATAACATTATTATAATTGCGACATCGTCACAATGCCGAGCTGCAATTTTAGTCATATTTTTAATTTATTTAATTTAAAATATACGCTCTCAATCTCAAATTAGTTGTGGCTTACTCCTGTACATCATACTTTTCCTTTAACAATAGAGCGTGCCCGTTATCTATGTAACTCCTTATAGGGGATATTTTTGTATCGAAGTAACGTGATTTCCGTTTTATATCGGAAATTATTATACAGGTAATTGGCCTCGTGCCCCTAATCGCCCTAAACTTTCACTAGTCTCGACTTTCATCTATTTAACTCCGTTCTTGAGATTAAGGAAGGACAGACGGACGGACAAACGGACGGATGACAGTGGGAATTTATGTCTACAATTTTTTTTCAAATTGGATCTTAATATAAATAACGCAATAGACGTTGACTATAAAAGAAAACCCACAGTAGTTTCTCAACCGTTGACTCGCGATCTACCAGTTGAATATCATTGCTTGGTATTATTAAAGCGGCATCCTTAGTGTAACGTTTCAAATTACTGTTATTTAATTTAGAGCAGCTTATTCCATCATCAAAATTACAGGAATATAATATATAATATAAATTATAATATTAAAATTCCATAATCTAGATTATAGAAAATTAATCTTTTAAATAATCTAATTCTTATTTCTCAACTGGTAGATCGCGATCTAATAATTGAAAAATTTTGTAGATCTTCGGAATGCTATTGCTGCTTTAACATTTTCATAATTAATTATTAAAATTTTATTTTTTTACAATAAAGTTTACCAGAATTCAAATTTAGAATTTCTATATAGGCTAATTATTACTTCGGAAGAAACTTTTATAGGAGAGTGGATGAAGTCATCTTAAAATTTCAAGTTAAAAAGTAAGGAAAGTAAGATTTAATGTTTTTAAATCAGGAAATTTAGTCAAGAACTTCTGATAAACCAATTTAAGTGAATGCTTNTTCGAGTAGATTAAATTGCTGGATGTATAGGATTTCCGGAAATTTTAACTAAATTCTATGAAATTCCTCGATTGTTTACAGTAGATATAAGTTATAACTTTAATAAACAATCAATTCGAAATCTCTCAATCACTAGATAACAAGTTAAATCACAAATTTCAATATTTAATTTATTCATATTTACACATTAGTTGTACGAACGAAGCGTTAACGAGTAGAATTCATCATAAATTCAGAAATTTTGATCATTTTCACAAACGATTTCACATAAATTAAAGTCGAGAATCGTTAACTTCCAATGTAAAGTCATAAGGAATATTACAGCAAATAAAACTTTTATAAAGTCTGTAAGTATAGAAAAATTGAATGGTTATGTAATATTTTGACGGTATAGATCATAAATTAATATTTTACAAGAGATTTTGCAATTAGATTTTCTCGTTAAAGGCTAAATTTCTATAGCTTCTGATTGGGACCACTTGGATTTGTATCGAGACTCTGACCGAATCTAACTCTACACTTAGAGTTAATGCATTATTTATTTAATATAATGATATTTGGTAAAGAAAGGAGGCAAATTTAAAGTCGAAAAGCATTTTTTAACATATGTTAGAGAAGCACTCAAGCAAGAGAAAGGTGTTCGCTCTAGTAGAAGATCACGCGTATGAGGTAGAATGGAATCTTAACAGACCACGATTTATCAATCACCTGTCCAATATAATATTATTTGAGCCTTCATCTTTCTTATCATACACCCCATACCTTATGTATGAAACATTTATAACAGTTTATGAACGGGTAAACAGTACGTAAGTAGGTAATAACCGAATGCCGATTCAATACGCATCACACAGCTACAGATGGTATCGAATTGTTTATAAATAACACGCTGGTTACAACTAAACACAAGAAACTTAAAGTAGAGAGGCGAAAAAAATCTAAAGAATTATAACAATTAATCTAATGACGAAACAATAGAAATTGATTAGAAATTCGAATTTTTAAAAGGATAAATAACATGTCGGCAGTAATTCGCGTAATGGCCACGAGGTAGCGCCTCACGGTCGCCCGCTTGATATAGACGACGCGGATGAAGAGGCTGACAAACCTAGTCTATCCGCTTGTCTGTCCTTCAACTTCTTCAATACGGGTAAATGACAACAAATCAGTCTAGACCCCGACAACCGTGTAATTGCGCATGTGTTTGCGAATAGTCGCACAGTAGCAACATTCATCTGTCTGACGTTTGCACGTTCACGAGTTAGCCACCCCGACTGCAACAACATCGAAGGTAAGTCATTGCCCTCTCCCTCCTTTGCTCTCTCTTTCTCCCGTTTACTTTGACCGGGTAATGTTCGAAGGTAATACACCCCCTTCGTACGGAGATGAACGCGTGAAATCTCTAATAAAACCGTTCCCTATGACGTAAAGAACGTGATAATTCTGTAACAACACTACTTCCTTTCCCCCCTGTTATCTACAATTGGATATGCACGTTTAAGCTTCAACAACCGTTGAGTTACTGATCAATGATTCTGTTACGAAATTTTTTTAATGGGGTAATTTAAGATCTAACGCCCTTTAAAACAAATTTTTTACTCGTTTGGCGCCTCTTTTTAACGCTCTATAATCGCCATAGATGCGAATCTATCGATATTTTTTCAATCACATAAAAATGTTTGAAGATTGTCAGGTAGGAGGATAATCCTTTCGAGGTATTATCTACGAGCAACTAGTTTGTAGAGAAGATTTATAACATTTTCTAAAATATACAGAAGATAAAACGTACATTTTCTTGAGTCAGAATTTTTTATAGAAATTTTTAAAGAAAAATTCTAGAAGTATCTCTTGATTACAGAATCATTTGCTGGCAAGATTTTGCTTAGGTTTCTATGTATTTTAAATCTACCTGTCTGATTCGTCTGTTGAAAGTGTACTATAAACGTGATCGATACATCGTAGAGCGATCAAAAATGCAATGTTTTAAAATAAATAAACTATTCGCCGATGACGTGACTAATTACAGATAAGATTGAAAGCGAACGTTTCTATAAATGGATAGGAGGAACCTTATATATATAACATATGTTATATAATTTATAATCTTGTGTAAAAATTGATAAGTTAACTTTGCCTTTTAAATGTAGGCTTTCACACTCGATAGTGGTGTATTTTTTCGTATTCTGTATCGATGTGGTTTAGCGTTAAAACGCTTCTTTTCTTTCCATAAATTCGTGGCACGTAAAGGCAAACTTACACTTTGTCATCGTTTGAAAAATCTTTCTTCACCTGTTCTTTCTCGAATCTCATCACGTTCAGCTTTCCCCCTCTTATATATTTTTTTATTTCTTTTTTATTTAGGTCCGTTCTGTCACCCCAGAGACCAACAAACTACTACTCTTTACCAATCCTTCCGGAGCTTAATTTGATCGAGTATCTCTTTCTTTACAAATATATTTCTTACTTAAAATTTTATTTATTTGAAATAATTCTTCTTTTTCTAAAGCTATTTATTTTAATCTTATAAATAATTATTATTATATAAAAGTTGTTTTTTAAGTGCTAGAAACCTTATAGCGGATCTCCTTCCGGTGTACTTACAGTCAGATTCTCCTCTTTTAATGCTCTTATAAGACATCTCTTGACCTTTGGAAGGCCCCACTTACTTTTTTGGGAGTCTCTATTATATTAAGAAAGCAAAAATAGTGTTAAAATTATAATAAAATTGAAAGAAAATAAAGACGTATTTCTTAGTTATTTGAAATGAGGCCTCCCGAATGTGAGGCCTTACCGAAATTCCTGTGATATTGCTTGCTTATAGCAAAATATATATATAAATAAATTTGATTTATGCACCATTTTAAGTTTGAAAAATGATATTTAGTCTCTCTTATCGAAATGACAACGTGTTTATTTATTCAAAATTGAAAGTATAAATGTTGTTTTAGTATGGTTCATTTATTACAGTCTTCCAGATCGTAATTCGTTATGTTTATTTATAAAATACTTCATTCTTAACTTAAGCTAGATTAAAAATAAATAAATTAATAAAGATCTTATAAGCCTTAAAAAATATATAGATATATTGAATATTTTATCAAAGTTTTAAAATGAAACATTATAGCTTTAATTTGCATTATAATAATTAATATATATTTAATATTAACATTTATATAATTAATTACCTGAGATAATAAATTTTTTATCGATTTATTGAAAAAAAATTATTTTTACGCAGTGAAATGTGAATTTTAGAGTATATTCTAAATGATATTTTTATTCGAAGAAAGTAATGCAGACTTGAATCCGGAACGAACCCACGACTTCATTTATTTCTTCAACTCTTCTTCGTTTTATAAGTCTTACAAGAGTTCTGATTCTGGAACCGAACTCGGGTCTATATCATAAGATTAATTATAGGTCCGAACCCACGACTATTATGTGACAGATGCATTTCTCCTGAGTTGCAAAATAAATTACTTATTCTGATTCTGGAAAGTACAAACTCTAATTCTCCCAATTTTAGAAATGCCAAAGATCTAAGATCCAGCTTTAGTTTGGAAACAAAGACTTTTATATATTTATTATAATTTTATTAATTATTTAATTTATTTAAAAAGTTATGATTTAAAAGTAAAATTATGAATAGAACATGGTCACAGCATGGATTTATATAACATCTTTATGCATAAATAGATTAGTGTTATAATAAATACACAATTTTCAAAAATTTAATTTAATTTTTTAAGTCACATCAAATTCAAAATTAAATTAAAAACTTATTTAATAGCTTTGTAGCTATTTTTGTCTTCAGCCTTAATGTATTATCATTATTTTTGTAGTTTCATCAACATATTTAAAGCAAATTCTAATGTTATTTTGACAAATTATAATTAAATAATCTACAGGACAAGTAAAGAATGGGAAATTTTTAATGAATTTCATCTAGAAATTGAAAAATAACATTTTAAATGCTAAGTATTTATTATCATACAAATTTATTTTTATTGTTAATTTTTTACACTGATTTGTGACTTAATATTTAAACTTTATATATACTTACATGCATTCATATATACAAAAATGTTTGTAGTGTGAATATACCATTAAATGAAGACCCAATTTATAGTTTTACAGAGAAGAATCACTCCAAGAAACACAGCCAACGAATGATTCTTTGGGCTGGATTCTTCTTTGTTAAACCAGGAGTTGGGTCTTCACAGTATATCAATATTTACAAATTTGTACAATCTTCTCAGACACTTACAGCTTCGACATTGCAATTTTTAGGCAATCTGTAGCTTAATATCACATGTGTATATAAGTAATAAAATTTTTTATAGGAATTAATATTTATTAAAGGATTATAAATAGTTAAAAAAGGTATCAAATATTGAATTTAAATTAAATCTTCGTACATTCAGTAGGAATTCAGGATTATGTTTACTTTCTAAAAGTTTTTGTAAAATCTTGAATATTCATTTGTAAATTAATGTATTTACTTCCTACTGAAGATATTCACATCTCCTCAACCCCATTAAGTAATATATAAAAATAGGCTGTATATAATATTAAAATTCCCAAAACAAATCCATATTTTTGATATTATATCAGTAGTAAAAGTTATCTTAAGGTTTTTCACCTAACAGATATTGAATAACATTCATCATTATATTAAAATTGTCACCTTAACAAAGCCATACACTTAGATACATCTACTAGAAGATTATAAAAAGAGACCACCTCGTTGCTAAATGCACTTAACTTGGCAGAATATTGAGATTTATGATTCTAACATCTAAGAATAAAGTTACAAGAGTTTGGTTTATTCAAAAATATATACATAAGTTAATAAAAAAATATATAAAAAGAAATGCATTTATTGAGCTATCTAAGGAATTTTATATGAAATATTGTAATTAATAATGAAAGAATAAATAAATTATTTTCATTTTTAAGGTGAATTAAAGTGTTTTATTTACTTTTTTAATGCTTTCTTTAAGTAAATTTATCTTTAAATATTGTATTATTTTGTTGGTTTTCTTGTGTACGCCAGTGGAATGCAGGAATTAGTGTTTAATTCCTTCTGAAAGGACACAAATATTTAGGAATGCAAAAAATTTGGCTTTAAAGGAGTTACTTATAATGTCAAATTATCTCTGCTTTAAGTAAATAAAGAATTTTTATCTATCTTTAACCATTAAGTTTTACTTTGTATAACATTTCTTTNAAAATAGGTATTGTTTGAATTGTTATTAATTAAATTACGCAATATTTAAAATTGGTGCTTAATTTGGATTAAATAGTAATATCATTGATGAATTTCATTCGAGTATGAATGCAAGTATTAAACTTATCATTTGGAAATTGTATCAGGAGGGAGGAAACACGACGTCTACTTTAATGCCCTACATTCTGTTTTATTGTAAATCATGATTTTAAGTGAGCCAATGGATATAAAGAAGCGAGATTCTAAAAAGAGAAAATGCTTTTCAACACATTCTACTATAATTTCGTTTTGTTTACAGTTTAAGTGATGAAGTACTTTAAGAAAGGAACCTTACAACTAGAGCTTTAAATCTTAAAACAATTCTTTAGATTCAATGTTTACATCATTAACTCTCAAGGAATACTTGATTCTTATCATCTGAATTTTATAAAAATTGTTTTATAGGTAAAACTATAATAATAAACTTCTAAATAAAAGTTAATTTAATATTTAAAGATTAAAAAAAAAAAAACAATAAAAGTTTTGCCACCATTCAAAAATAATGACCCAGAAGTGGTCGAGTGGATAAAATCACCGAACACTGATATTTGGTCGTGGGTTCGCGCCACACCAACGGCTTTGCCACGTGGAGTTTCGCGTGTTTCCGAACTGGAACTCACGTGATTTGAATTCGAAATTTTCCAGATAGATGGTCGGCATGACTCGATTGTTACCAGGAAAAGTATGATGTAAAGGGGCAAGACATTACAAAAATCCCAGACTAGATATGGAAAGCTTAGTTTAAATTATAAAATATGATTAAAAATTGCAGTCCGGCATTGTGCCGATGTCACTACAATATAAATTTGAGTATTTTTTAACTTAGTAATTTGTTCATTTGCGTATATGTATAAAAAAGAACAGAGGAAAACTTTTTATGCTTCTACTAATTCGTTGTTATGTTGATGATTAATTAAATGGAAGTAGGAAAACTTTGCAAGATATATAATTAGTTAGAAGCAGCAATATCTAAGAAAACATGTTTCAGGATAGTGAATAGGAAATGTATCGCAAGGAAATTT